AAGGTACAACTGGGCTAAAGGAAAGGAGAAAAGAAAGAAGGGGAAAAACACGGACATACATACATAGGAGAGCTTGGGTAATCACACTTCTCATTGCTGCTAGTCTACTGAAAAGAGCAATTAATGCTTATTTTTCCGCTCTGCTTTTCAATTTTTCATAATTTTTGACCAATCTTACAGGCATACGGTGTATCTAGTAATCTGAGCAATTGTTAGAAGACAACAGGCTATTTGAAGACAATATAACAGCAATAAAACAAGTTCAATTCCTATCATTTTGTTTAGTGAAATTCTGTATTTTCTTTTTTTTACTTTTTTTATTCTCTTTAAAAATTAAAGAGAATTTACAGCCATATAATTTGTCCCAGCTCAATTTTAGAAACAACCAGAATTACAAAGCATCTATATACTCTCACAACCAGATAGCAAAGTTGGACTCCTAATAAAGTCTGAGGAGCTCAGGGCTGCAGCAATGGCTCTCAATCTTGGCGTAGTTGGGAAGAACCACTGGAAAGTTCTTTAGAAGTCCTGATACCCAGACAACAGGCGTCGGGACAGAGCACCAGTACTTCCGTAACCTTCCAGGTGACTAGCCATGCAGTCAGCTAGACTCTTCTCGCCCCCACCCGTCTCCAGTCTTCTGACAAGGAAGATTCGGGCAGGCGCAGGAGTCTAGCCCCGGCCTAGATCTCAACCCACTCCCACCCAGGTCTCAGGCTCCTCCACCATCCTCTCAAACACAGTCACACCCCTCAGTCTCATCTCCAACCTTCCTATTTTGATTTTCCAAAATTTTAATTATAAACCACATCAACCCTCTGCAAAGTATAGAAAACGAAACATCCACGGGGCTGCCACCTGGGTGTAATAAATGGTTACCTTTTACACCTCACTTCACATCTTTCAGTTTTTGCAGAAATAAAACTGCCTGGAGGCAGCCCCTATGTCCCTCCCCTTCTGTCCCACTCTTACCATCTACGACAGCAGAGAACAACATATAGAAGAGCTTCCTAGATTTTCACTTTGCCCAATGCGCCTGTTCTTCACCTGTTTCTGTTTCTGTGGGTAGCAGCCCTCCCCTGAGGGCTTTGGAGCCTGGGTGAGCCTTCCTCAAATCTGGCTTCTCTTCACCATCTAATGCCCATCCCAGGCTTTTCCCAGATTAACCCTGTTATATATACCACAGAGATACCTCAGAGAGTAACCACATTTGCTGTCTAGTGTGATGGAGTCTAAGGCATTATTCTAACCTCAAACTCCCTCCCCTCCAGTGCTGTCACTCACTGCTGGGCCTAGAGTCCAGGCGGGTTCTGTTATCCCCAGCTGTCACACACATCCAGAACTGAGTCCCACGACTGTACTCACTGGAACCACCACCTCATGTCCCTTTCCCTCTATGTGCTCCCGTTTAGTCAGGATTCAGAGACAGAACCAATAGCATGTATGTGGCTATTGGAGTGGGTGAGTGGCTGGAGAAAGAGAGAGAGAGAGAGAGAGAGAGAGAGAGA